AAATAGCATTTGCTACATTGCTGGAGGGACAATTATACTATAAAAGAACATTTTAGTTACTAATTCTGAAACTGCTAATGCTTCTTACGACTTGCTTATTGCTTAAACATTTCAAATACTTCGGTGTATGGATCAGTTAAAGCAACATACCAACACTCTCTGCAATTATATTTGTAGAAGAGAAGCGTTTTGCCTCTAGTATGGCTAAAAGTGGGGATCAGTTTACGACTTGTTTCTAAAGCAAAACTGATACCACTTTTAACAAACATATTGTCTGTTAATCAAAGGTTGATGATCAAGTGTAGGCTTGCGAAAAGGAACAAATTTGAAAGCCCAGCCCATCTTAATTTGGGATTGACTTTCTTCTGTTTAGTTGTTAAGAGGATTCGAATTTTTCTCTTAATTTACCCCAAATAATGTAAAGTTACTTATCGTAAGTATTAATTCACTCCAAGAAATTAGAAATTTTAAATCAAAGTTTGTTTTTTTATTAATTTTTTGGCACTCTTTTCAAATTATAAATTTTAAAACAAAATCTGTTTAGCTTGTCTGGCAACAACTCCAACCTTCAGAATGAAAAATTCTGAAAAATCAGGGAGTTATTCTCATTTCGTCAGTGTGGTTGATATTCGGGGTACTTTCAATGAATTTTTACAATTTAAAAAGAAATCTGTTTTTGGCTTTTTTATCGGACTGAGAGCGGACATATACCACTCAATTAGAATAGTACACACGAGTCTCTCAAGATGGGGTGCAATGGAAGGGCCACCACGATTTAGGAGAATTTGGTGTGAATTTTATTAAATATAAATTATTTTCATTATGGGGTGAATTAACAAAAAAGAGCTGAGTATCCAAAAATATCTCATCCAACTTCTCGCCACCAAAAAAAAATTTCGCTAGAAATTAAATTCATATTTTAGAAATTTTGAAAGGTAGGCACACATAATGGAAGCATTCTTGTGTTCTGTTCGTTATATATATATAAGTGTGTATATATACATATGTATATATACATATACGTATATATACCCATATACATATATATTTATACACATATACATATATATATGTACATATACATTTATACACATATATATATATACATACATAGACATTTATACACATATACATATATATATCTATACACATATACATATATATATATATATTTATACACATATACATATATATATATATTTATACACATATACATATATATATTTATACATATATATACACAAATACATATATATACATATATATGCACATATATATATATTTATACACATATATGCATATATATACATAAATTTATATGTTTCGGAACTTTAAATTTGTTCCATTATAAAGCGATGTTAGGTAACTTCTTTTTTGTTATAATATATATATGTATATATATAATATTTTTTTCTTGTTTATAATATACATACACACTATATATATATATATATATATATATATATATATATATATATATATATATATATATATATATATATATTATATATTTAAGACCCCTAGCGATTTACAAAGGAAGCCACATATGGAGCAAGTGCGAGGATTGTGAGATGAGATCACTGTTAGATTGGCTGATCTTTTAGATCTTGCTCTCGATTCTTGAAGATGATTCAGACAAGCAGATTGAAAATGGCTGAGTACACTAAAACGTTGGTCTCCATTCTACCCGCTCCAAGGCTAAGCGCTCAAGGGTGTTATGTAATATATTGACTGCTGACAAGTTGCTTTTCAGCTTGTCTTTGTATCTTAGGCATGAGTGTCCTACATTCCTGTAGCCCTGATCTAACTGTCTGTACATTAAGATCTTGGGTATCATGTCATCAGACATTCTCAAGACATGACCAGTCCACCGTAACTGAGACTGTATGATAAAAGTCTTGATTCCTCCAATATTACACCTGTTAAACAGGTCTACGTTAGATGTTCTATCTTGAAGCTTAACTCCATAGAGACAGCTTTCATGGAAAACATCTAGTATATGGTACCTGTATGGAGTCCACGACTCTGAGCCATACAAAAGGATGGCAAGTACAATAGCTCTGTAAACCCGAATTTTCCTATCCAGTCGAATACCACGCTCATTCCACGATGGCGAAGTTTGCTGAAAACACTGGTAGCCTTAGAAATCCGATGCATGATTTCATCATCTAAAGTTCCACTGTAGTTGACTTTGCTACCAAGATAGGTGAAAGACTTTACATAGTTCAGGGCTTTGTCTTTGAAATTTGTAGACTGGTGATTTTTGTTTCTCACCACGCAATTGCTTCGGAGTACGACAAGGTTGGTGCACTACTTCAGTTTTCTTTATGCTAAGTGTAAGACCAAATGCTTTACATGCAGCAGAGAAACGATTTATTAGATGTTGGGCCTCCTCAAAATATATATATATATACAGGTTGGCAATAAAGTCACTATCCAATTACTTATAATAAAAAATCAAAGCATTGAAGCAGGTGGCTTACATTTCGAACAATATCTGTAAATAATTTACTATTGTTTACCATAGCATTTTATTGTTATTAACCAGAATTATCCAGAACTATTTTAATAATAAATTTCTGGACTGTTGATTAATTGCTTTGTTATTGTAAGTAACTGTATAGTGACTTTATTGCCACCCTCTATATTTTTCCTTTTTTTCAAAAAATTGAAATATTAATCTTTCAGCATTGGAATCAATGAATCAATTAGTTACCTTAGAATTTCAAAAATTGAAAATAATAAAAATATTTTAAAGAATATATATAAGTTTTATGTCCATACAAAGCAATGGGAGACAACTTCATAATTCCAATATCGTTATCTGGTTTTGATTAATTTGTTACTTCGAAAGGATTCTAAGTTACCAAGTTTTCGAACACTATCACCCTTGACATCAAAATTATTAAAATTAAATGACTTTAATTTTCTTGGTTATATATTTAATAAAATCTCTGAAAATTATAAAAAGCATTTTCTTTTAGTTGGTGAAATTTATATCAGAGTTGCTCTCCAGTTATATTGGGGGAAGTTTATTTGGTTTGGCTGAAAATTTCGATGGATGTGCAAAAAAACAAAACAAAAAAACAATATTTGGCATTATGGTAAATTGTAGATGAAAATTTTTAAGACTATTCCAGTTGCCAAATTAAGAGTAAATTTTTATATGATTTATTTTATTGATGATTCAATAGTCAAGTAATTGCAACTGTATTTGATAATAACGGGATCAAGCGGACTTGCTACTGTTTTCTTATAAACCTAAAAGTAAAATTCTAGATTTTTGATTGTGTTCATTTATTTAAAATGGATTTCTGAAGATAAATTAAAAATTGACATATTTATCCGCCTGGATAAAAATTTACAGGTATTTGTTTTATTTTTAGTTTTCCATCTTTTTTTTAAATATTGATTCACTCGCCAAATTATCCTGTTAATTTTATTTATCCTTTTAATGTTATTTGATTTTAATTATTATTAAAATTATGTGCGAGGCCTAATCAAAAAGTATTGGGACTGGTGTTATAAAATGAAAAAAAAAATACCGATGCAATATTTAATCTTCCTTCGAAGTAGTCCCCATCTGAAGATCTTTAGATCAGTCACAGACTTTGAAAATGTTGAAATTGATTTCTTATTGTATTATACAATTATATGTTCTATGTTTTTAATCAAACTGACTCAATGTCATGGAGTGGACCTAATTTGAATGCTTGTGCCTTTACTTGAAAGAAGAGGTCAGTTTTGCTCTTTCTTTGAACATTTGCATTTATATTATTAAATAGGTTTGAGGCATTTTTACGTGCGCATGCGCGTCTAACCTGTTGTTATCCAATGATAATGCGCGTGTAATTTTTCTTTTTTCGATTGACGCTTATCTTCGGTTTATTTACGCTTTCTGTAGATTATCTTTCGAATTTCTTTCTGGCGTTTGATTCTTTTTATTCTCATCTTTACACCCTCCTCTTTCAATTTTTTTTTTTTTCATTTTTTTCTTTTTCTTTATTTTCATCTTTTTTTTTATTTTCCTAATTTCTCTTTTTTTTCTTTCTTTTATTTTTTGATTTGTTTTATTCTCATCTTAACTCATTTCTATTCCGCATTTTTAATTTTTTTTCTTTTCCTTTATTTTTATAATTTCTTTATTTTATTCTATTTCTTTGTTCATTTCTTTTCTTTTCTTTACTTTTCTTCTTCTTTTTTTTGGTGGTGGGGCGTCCTTTTTTTCAAATTTTAATTTTTCTAATTTGAATTCGTTCGTATTTTTTGCTTTCTACGTCTTTCTTTCTTTCATTATTTCTTTGTTCGATTCTTTCTTCACGTGTTCGTGTTCCTCCCTTTCTATTCCTTTCTTTCTGTCTCTTTGTTTCTTTCTTTTAATTCAATCTGGACTTCCTTGTTTTCTCTTTACGCGTACTTTTTTTTCTTTCGCTGCGTCATCTTTAACCCTTTCTCCTCCTTCGCCCGCTTCTTTTCCTCCTTACTCTCCTTTCATTCTTGTTGCTTTCTCTTCTTTTTCTTCCTTCCCCTTCCCCCAAACATTCACTCTCTCCTTTTATCAGCAGTCCTCTGCACCTCCCGCCATTCTCTTGCTTAATGCTTTGCTTAATCGCCTTGTCTCAAGTGGAAAATGCAAGCTATGCGTACAATTTACCAGACTTGATTCTTACACAACCGTGTTTTTCTTGTTCAAAGTGACAAGAAACTATTAGAGTCGAGACAGAAGCCAGCCCTAGGCTTAGTGATTGCTTTGTACAATAAGCCGCTCCCAGGGGCACAAAACTAATCATGACCATCGCCAGTTCTTTTTCTTTTTCTTCTTCTTCTTCTTCTTCTTCTTCTTCTTCTTCTTCTTCTTCTTCTTCTTCTTTTTCTATGGGCCGTGTCTTTTCAGGACGTGTGTGATCTTGACTCGCCAAGTATATCGCCCGTCTCCTTCCTCTGTCCCTCTTGCTATCCATACGTCCTATAAGTGTCAACTTCTCCAAGACCTCTCTGGCTTACGGCGACATCACGTTGAAACGCCTCTTCTCGTACGATCACCGAAGTTAAGCAACGTCGAGCCTGGTCAGTGCCTAAATGAGTTACCACTTGAGAATCCCAGGTGCTGAAAGTTTGGATATGCGAGTTTGTGTAATAGATAACCAAATGGAATTTATATTTACTTCCGCGCAAAATACCCTTGGGAAAGGTATGAATCCATCTCTTCTCAACCCTCCGCCAAAAAAATATACAATTAGTAGGACTTCATCAAACGAAGACATTCTGATTCTTAGTAAATGTAAATGTCCTTTTTGTTTCCATTTTCTTTAAGTATTCTTCGTTGCTTACTCGCTTGGTCTCTGGAATTCTCAGCATTTTTCTGAAGAACCACATTTCTGTTGCTTCCATTTTTCTCTTCATCTGTGGAAAGATTGTCCAACATTTACTGCCATACAAAAGGATTGAGATTACATCACAAGTTAGCACTCTTTTCTTTGTTTCTAATTAAATTTTCCTGTTTCTTAATAATTTGCTTAATTTCTGGAAGGCATCTTTCACTATTCTAATGTAAAAAATTAGATATTACACAACTGTTCGGTACTCTTTTCTTTGTTTCTAACGACATTTTCCTGTCTCTTAATACTTTACTTAGTGTCTAGAAGACATCTTTCACTATTCTAATGTAAAAAATTAGATATTACGAAGCAGTTCAGTAGTGTTTTCTTTGTTTCTAATGAAATTTTCCTGTTTCTTAATACTTTGCTTAGCTTTTTGTAAGGCATCTTTTGCTATTCGAATGCGCCTTCGGATTTTGGTGTCACATTTTCAATCACCTGTTTAATTTTTATACTTGTTCACATCACAGTCTTTTTCCCTTGCTGATAACCATACATTCTGTCTGTTGACGGTTATTCCTTTCTTCCCGCTTTCCTTTACTGCCTTGTCTAGGGGGGGGTCCTCTTGTTTCCTTTCTATGTCTGCCAAAAACACAGTGTCATCATACTGGCCCTTTCTTTCAGTCGCCAAATGAAGTTTCAGAAAAAAATATTTTATTTTTTAATGATTTTTTTTAATAAAGAGAATTACATTGTGAGATAATCGTAAATATGGCTAAAATCAACCATTTTAAGAAATTAAAAAAAATATTCCAATCAATTTTAATTTGCTTTGAAATATAGTAAAGTATTTTGTATTATTGGAAATATTAAATTTAATCGATCAGCTAGAAATTAAAACTAAAATAAAAGCTTCAAAAATTCATTTTCAACCTTAGGTAGTGAGTTTCTTTCATGGTACCTACTTATATGTAACGCCTCTGGGCAGCCCACATTAACCCTAACTATAATCCTACCTGCATGGTGAGTCAGTAAATGCCAATTTTTGTCAAAATAAAGTCATATTATCACTTTCGCGTAAACAATTTTTAAAAAGTCAGAAAATGTGAACTTGAAATACACTTCTCAGATTTCGCTTACAGTGTACAAATGATGGCGCTGTGAACTTTTGTATTATTCTAATTGGTTCAGCAAATATTTACCAAAAAAAAGGCTGGCAGTTAATGACGATTCCTACAAGAAATAACAGACGCAGTAAATGGTATTTTTTTTCTTTTTCTTTTTTTTTAATTATTATTATTATTATTTCTTGCTTTCAAAACGATCTTAAATCAGCGACATCAAAGGCAGGGAATTTTCCCTCCATAAGTAAATATACTTTAACTGCCAAACGCGTTCAAAGCACAACGCTTAGAGAATTTATAGATTCGTGAGTTTTGCTTCGTGTAGCACAAAGCAAAATAAAAAAGAAAGAAGACTGTTTTGCGCCAAACTTCCAAGTTAGGGTAGCTTAGTCTGGCACAAGGCCAACATAATAGGGCACTCAATGATGATCAAACTCATTATACTGTTTGACAAGCAGAGCTTGCTAAATATCATGCTATCGTAGCGACAGTCTAATTTACTGAGCTTAATTTTGTCTGGCACAAGGCTACAAGCGAGTTACTCGCAACTATTTCATAACTTTTTAAGACTAGAATTTACCCAATACAAGGCTCAAGAGACACTCAAGTTAAAGGCTACTGTTAAAATGATGAATGAGGTGTATGATATGAATGAAAGAGAAGGTATCAGAAAGTGAAGATTATGAGGATGAGGTGTATAGATAAGGATTAACTCTTAACTTGAAGAAGTTAAGTTTGTAGTGTTCAGGGAAGCATTCTCGTGGGAGGCCGTTCCACAAAAAGGCGGTCATTGGGAAAAGATCTCTGCGGAATTTTATCGTTACATTTGGAATTTAGGGGAAATGGGAATGATTTGACTGTGAAAGTAGTATGATGTATTTTAGGTGTAAAGGTCTGAACTGGTGAAACTAAAGAATGGGGCGTTTATTTGAACATTTGTCGTGGAAATAACGATGGAGTTGCGATGGGCTGGCGACGTTCCACCTGTGTAGAAGTGACTGCAGAGCGGGGCACAGCCAGTCTCCCACAAGGAATGGAACACGTTCAATTGTCCGCGGCATTGGGAAAAGAAGGATCTCCCGCTTTCCGTGTGGATTACATGCGTGACGAAGGCTGAAGAATGAAGCGTCCAAAAGGATTTATAGATAACAAAAACAACAAGGTGTTCAACTGTCCGGGAAAACTTTACTATAATATTAGCTCTTCTCAAATCCAGCCGTCTAATATGGGGTAGGTGGCTAGTTACTCCGTGGTTGCAAATGCCAGATCAGGCACATTTGTGTTTGTTCAACGCATAAAGTGTATCTTATAATCCGAAGGTCAGGTGTGCTTAAGGAATATAGTAGAACATCCCAGCCAAGTTGTACCAATTTCTGACGTGGCTTCAAATAGATGAGAGGTCTGTTATCATCTAGATGAACAACGACATGCACCCTTTAGGTCGGGAACTGGCTTGTAAACTTTAATGCCTTCAAAACGAAACTGATCTCATTTACCTACCATAAAGAACCCTTCCTGCCACCCATCAGAATGGCTGATGCCAACCCCACGGGTGTTACGCCTTCTTGATCTCACGATTTCCACTCTTTCTGAGGTGAAACAACTACATTGAATCAATAGCTTCATCTACCGCAAGGAAAGTTGGTTCTCTGCGTCGCGCCAGAAGGTTCTTCTCGCCTGAGTCCATCCTTCAAATCTACAAAACAACTATTCATCCTTGCATTGAATACTGTTGCCATGTATGGCCTGGTGCCCCAGTTGTTCATATCGAGTTCTTCGACAAAATCCAGAGACGGAAATACAATGTGATATGGCATCTCATCTACAGTCACTTTCTCACAGACGTGATGTGGCTTCCCTCTGTCTTTTCTACAAATATTTTCATGGCAACTGCTCTGATGATCTACTTTCACTGGTACCCCAACTGCATGAATTTAAACATGCTACTAGGTTGGCATCTCGGTCCCACCTTTTCACTATCGAAACGGTTAAATGTAACTCTCTTCTACTCCAACAGCTTCTTCTCTCGCACTTCCCGACAGTGAAACTCCCTTCCTCTTAATTGCTTCCTTTATAGCTATAATCTTCAAATATTCTCAGTGTGATGTCAATCGACATCTTCCGATGCCTCGATCTTGATCCCCATCCTTCTCTTTATTCTTTCCTCAAACAAACCTCTTTAATTTCATTCTCTGTAACCCCTTGTGTGCTAGTGGCACTCCCACCTTGCTTGAGGTGATATGCTTAAAAAAAATCCGTATGCTTTTTATTCACTGATGTCTTTAATTGGTCCAACCGAGAAGATACTTGTCTGACTCCAATTTCTCATATTGCGGAAGGTTCTCGTAATACACTTCCATCCCACCTAATAAAAATCATCAGCTTCTTTTGATACAAAAACGTTCTCGGTCTTCCAGATTAAAATTTCCACTTCTGAACAGTACTCCAGCTATGGCACCAGCTCCATAAATGTCACATATAGTTTTTACTGTTCATACATTTTTTTCTTTCCGAAAATAAAAAAGCATCAAATGGCAAAAATGAATCTAATTTCTTCCATTTTCACCTTTTAAAAGACAAATATATAAAATTCTTAATCCACACACGAATGAAATATGTATATACGCTATAGTTTTCAGTCACGTGTGAAACGAAATCACCTGTTCAAGCGCCACCTATTGAAGAATGCGATGAACTTCTGTTTCAATTCAATAACTTATAATAATATTCTGCTTTTTCTATATTCCGGGTACCTTCAAGTCGTTGACGATCAATAACTCTCTGTCCTTTGTAGCTCTTAACAAATTTTTTTTTTCTGATAAACTTTGTTCCGCCATCCATTTACTCAAGCTCATTAGGTAGGTTATGCGTTGATTTCCTCTTTCCAATCTGTCCTGTGAGTATCAAATTTTCTAAGTCCCCTTTCCTCATTATGCGCACGAGTAATTTCAACTGACTCTTCCTAACTGAAAGCATAAGTATACTTTTTCTTTCCAGTTCCTCCAAAATTTCACCGTAGCTCACATGTTCGGTCAATGATATACTCAGCATCCTTCTGTAGGACCACATTTCTGTTTCTTCAAGTCTCTTGACCATTTGTGCGGGGATTGTCGATTATTCATGCTATATAGGAGGGCTGATATTAAATAGTAGTTTAGCGCTATGTACTTTGTTTCTGTTACTTCGAATCTCCTCTTCCTCTGTGTGGAGATTGTTTAAATTCCACTGCCATATACAAGGACGGATATTACACTTCTGCAGTCTTCTCAGTTTTTTTTTTTTTTTTTATTTTTAAATAAAAAAATATTACTAACTCGCTTAAAAGCCGCCCTATCGGTCGGGACTTCAGCTAGTTCCTATGCGAGGGCTCTTGATTGCGCCTTCGGCTTGTTTTAGAGTATGAAAGTCCCTAAGTCTTGCATATTCTTAGCAATGTCAGCTCTCCTGACTGCCATTTAATCTGGGTTTTCATTTGCATTTGACTTTCTTATCTACGCTGTAGCCTTCGCTCTTTTGATTGCAATCTTGTCCTCTGTTGGCAGAGATTTCTTTTTTACAAGGAATACTTTTGCCATATGTGATAGGCAACAATAAACTACAGAAGAACTAAAAAATGATTGCTGCATTTACGCATTAATTCATGTACGTATATTCTTACTTTCCGTACGAAC